CTGTTTTGTAACATTTGCCATTATTTTACCAAGACTTAGGACTAAGTGCAGATGGTGAGTTGAGGGAGAGGTTTGCCCAATCTTCATTTGGAGAAGTCGCCCTTAAGTTTTTTAAATATAATTTTTATCCCCTCAGAGTCCAAGCATTGGAATACCTGGGGGCAATGGCAGGATTATTGTAGGCATGCCACTTTTCTTCAAACTGGGGTCCTTTTCTGAACGAGACATGCCTGTCAGGTTTTTTTGTAGTACATAAGGTTAACAACTTTACAATAAAGAGGAAAAGTCCCCTGTGGCCAGTGTTTCCGAGTTGAAGGCTTGACCATGATTTTAAGAGTACACTTGGGGTTTGCAGTTAGGGGGAGTACAGATCAGGTATTAATTCCCTATGTTGAATTGCAAGTAAACTGTTACTTTGTGGCTGAAAACATCAAATTAGAGATGGGCATGTTTTTTAGCACCCCTCTACTCCTTCATTATCTTGCAGTTCCATATGAGTAAAACAATGAAGGATGAGGTCAAAATAAGTTCAAATATCAGAGTCACTATAATGGGAGTCTGAGTGGACAAGTAAAACCACTGTGTGGTTAAAGGAGGAATGTTCCATGATCAATGAGTTAAAAGTAGAACTTTTGGGGCTACATGGATATAATTATTTCTGATGAAAATTGCATTGCACTGCACTGCACCGCACTGTACATTAAGAACTTACAAGAGAAGGATGAAGAGGAACAAATCCAATGTTTTGGAATGACCACTCCAAGTCGAGACCTAAACCCCATCGAAATGTGACAGGACTTAAATCAACCAGTTCGTGTTAGAAAACCCTCAAATGTTAGTGAGTTGAAGCAGTTTGTCATGGATGAATGGCCAAAATTCCTCCAGGGATGAGAGAGACCGATCACCAGTTACAAAGGGTGTTTAACTTGTATTGTAGCTAAAGGTAGAGTCACCACTTACTGGACTGAAGGAGGCAATTATTTTTTTCATGTGGGTATATCACACGTTGGATGAAACAAACACCAAACTTGGATGTTACAGGTAGTCCTCGTTTAGCAACCACAATTGGGACCAGCAACTTGATGGTTAAATGAAGTGGTTGCTAAGTGAAAAATCACATGATTGTGACTGTGCTTACGATTTTACTTCAGCTTTCCTTTGCTTTACAGTGTCAAAAGGATAGGACCCCAAATTGCTGGATGAGCCCAAATAGTGGGGAAGGTTTCTGGAACTCAACTCAAGGAAACTAGGTAAAAAAGCAAATCTTATAGCCCCTCCCCCCCTCCACTCCCTTGCCCTTTGAAAAGCTCACCCTGATCCTGAGATCATTAGTAAGAAGAGATGTTTGTATTTACATTCATTTGAGAGGAAGGGATTATAAGATAGTAAGCAGGCACATAATGGGGAATATACATTTAAAGGAATGTGCTAGCAGGGCTGTTCGCCTAGTGGGCTTGGGCAAGCAGCTTAGGAAGCAAACAAAAACCTTTAGTGTGAAACTGATTAGGGTCTTGACAGTTTCAGGCAGCAGCTGTGAGCTGGCTCATTAAGGTCAGGCTGCTGAGCTTGTTAACATGCCATTAGCACTTCTTAGGGACTTGCTGCACTGTGGAGAAAAGCAGCTGTGGAAGGGATTGTTTGTTTAAGCAATGTCTCTGCTTTGTGAGGAGAGGAAAAGAAAAAAATGGGGCAGGCACAGGACAATGCGTACTAATTGACTAATGGCAACCCAAGACTGAGAGAGAGACACTGAGAAGGTCGTAAATGTGGGCATTGGTTGCAAAGTTACTTTTTCATCACTGTTGTAATTCCAAATGGTCACTATCTGAGGCAGTCACTAATGAGGACTACCTGTAGCTGTTTGCTCAGATTTCCTTTATGTATCATTGGTACCTACATGAGGCTGTTATAACATTTCATGGCAAAGATATAAAAGAAATCAGAAAAACTAAAAATGAGCAAATATTTTTTTCCAGGACTGTATGTATGCTATGAGCACTGGGGGACAGAAGTTCATTGTTGCGTGGTTCTTCAGCTACCATAGTTTCTCCACCACCCCCCCCCGCCTCAATGGTTGATGTAGCTGAGGAATATGAGTCCCTGAATTATGAGAGAAAAGCAGCAAAGGTGAAACCTGGTAATTTCTGGTGAACAGCTCAGCAAAGTTGAAGAGGGAAGGCACTCAGACTTCTGGTTTATGCTTGCTGATTTGTCATATAATTTTATTGATAAGCACACAGGATAGAAGTAACAGGATGCATGAAGCTTTTAATCAATGTAAATAAGCCTAATGCCCAGTTCTGTATCCTCTCATACTGATGGCATTCCTGTCTACATGCTAAATAAATCAAAAGATGAGGAGAAAAGACTGCTGGTCTTTTTGGAAGGGTACTGTGATGTTCACAAGGTGAGTATCACTTATTCCTGGGATTGGGTCCTCTGCTACTTGTGGAATTCAGTTCTGGAACTCAGCACATGCCCAGCAATCTGGAGCTTGCTTTAATAGGCCTCACATGTTTTTTGGTTCTTGATGTTCCTTTTCATTTCTTTATAATAGCTAACTTTGCTCACATGGCTTCCTAATCACAATCCTTCAATACACACTAAAGAAGAATGCTAAGGAGCATTAGGCAAAATGTCGGGTAATGCTTCTATTCTTTGTACTACCATTATTAACCTGGTTTCTGAATTAACCTAATTTCACTGTTTGCACAACGCATCCAACCGTCTACAGTAAATGGGCTGAGGTTGCACTAAGTTGCAAAGCACCCAACCAGTGAACCAAAGTTAAAACTACATCAACATCCCATGTTATGCCAATACAGTTGCTAGGTTGGACAATGAGCTGGCTAAGCATGTTTTAGAGACACAGGCAACGGGCATTTGATCTGCTTCTAGTCTTAGCTTAGCAGCTGGATTGTTTTGTGCATAGACTGAAAATGGTTTGATACTGCTGATTATGTTTCTTAAAGCAAGGGCAACGGCACTGAAAGGAGTGTCATTGTGGGAACGTTTTACTATCAGCCCTTCATTGTGTTCTGATCTTATCGTTGATCCAACGACTATAGAAGGGCACTGAAGTACAGACCCCGGGATGGAAGTATTTGCCACACGCTACTCCCCAAGACACAATCCCAGCCTGGATCCATCTCCTCCCGACTTTACAGACCAAGGGTCCACCACCGTCACCCTATGGGGAAAGAAATAAGATTTAGTGTGAATATACAAAGAACATTCTAATATCAAATTTAGAATATGGGTTAAAGGGAGGGCATCAGAATGGTGAAGTAGTTAAATTGTTAGAGTAGGGGCAGGGAGGCCCAGGTTGAAGTCTACCATCAGCCTTGGAAACTCTCTGGGTGACTTTGGACTGGTTGCTTTCTCTCAGGGAACCTATCTCAGAGGAGGAAGTGAAGCTATATTGTTGGAGGAAGCGATATTGATATCACCTTGTGCTTCTGGATAAAAGCCATAATATACATCAAACTAATCTAATGAGCAAATATTGTCTGCAAATTTGCTTGGGACAAGACACTGCGTTCCCAATCTTATGAAAATTGATGCCAATTTGTGAGGATTGCTCAATTTTTTAAAAATGATTGTTTATATGTAATGGTTTGACAATATAGTATTAGGATTAGCGTTGCCATTTATCTATTGTTTTCATTTATATTCTGCCTTACATTAAATATGAGTCATTTTTCTCCTGATTGGACAGGGTCATGTTGAGTATCATGTTCAGTTGTAGACATCATACAGGTAGTCTCTGGGTTAACAATGCCTGGTTTATGGAAAGCCATAGTTAAGTACAGAGACTACTGTAGCAAACTTCTACTTAAATACACAATGATTCAAGTTGAATACACAATGGTTTGAGTTAATTACACAATACTACCTATACAATATTATACAATAATACTGTTTTGGCTTACATACAAGTTCGATTTAAGGTCACATCTTGGGAACAGAACTCATTCTTAAACTGGGGATTACCTGTATTTAAGAAGGATTCAGAAATACTGGAACAGTATTTCCACAGCTTACCAAAACTTCCAGTGAGCCATAATGGTGAACTGATGTTCCTCTGAGGAGAGGAGCCCATTGTGGCCAAATCAGTGCCCAGTTGCAGGAATTGGGCTGTGGTAATCTCTCTGGAGTTAAGAGAGATTGTCAGATAGCCCACATGTACTCTGCACAGTGTTTTTTTGAGAGTGGGTAGCAGGAACTGTGCTTTTGTGGTTGGCTTGCAATCAGCTGGGAGTCATGGAATTCTATTGTGCTTATTGCCGCTAATGTTGCCTATATGGACTTTAAGTTTGACTGGGCTCATCTCTTAATCCCTTTGGACTTTATTATTTTTTTCTTTGGCTTTCTTTAAAGATTGAGAACCTTCAGACTGGCAAGTTTTACTGAAATCGCAGGGTGAATTTCCTTCAATCCTTTTCAAAAAAAAAAAAGGAAGGAAAGGAAGGATGGAAGGAAGGAAGGAAGGAAGGAAGGAAGGAAGGAAGGAAGGAAGGAAGGAAGGAAGGAAGGAAGGTAGACAGCTTAATTACAAGTTTAAAGATGTATGTTTTTTGGAATATACAGCAAAAGGAAGATTACTGCTGGCTTCAGAAAGTTTTACATAGATTAAGGGCACAGATGGACTTGATTTAAGACTGAAGTTAATTGAAAAGATCCTCTCCCATGGGAAACTGCCATGCTTATATTCTGAAACTGAGAACAGGAGTTTGAAGATTAGACACTAGTGGGCACCAGATGGCTACATTAAAGGAAATATTTTATTTATGGCAACAGGAGTTTCCCCAACTATTTAACTCCTTCATAGCATCAATGTTATTGCAGAGGAACAAAATTGTTCTATTGAATAAAATTGAGAATGATTTACAGGTGGAATTAAAAATTACAGCTTAGAATAAGGAGATTGAAATAATGAAATTACAAATGAAATATGATGACATAAAAATAAAAAAAGAAATACAAATAACAAATCAGATGAGTGATCTGGATTATTTCCTTATGCTGGATTTACAAGAGGGATTTGCTGGAATTGCTACATTGGGAGTACAAAGGGAACTTGATAAAGATGAAGACAAGAATTTTGGGACAAGAGAAGAGAGTATGAAAATGCAGTTGCTAGAACTTTCTTTGAGGATTTTAAAGATTGTTTGCAGAAAAAAAATACAGAATTAGTTTATTCAATCAAGGTTAAAATAATGGGTTATTTTTGGGGATGTTTAATGGTTCTTTGATCAGGACTGGATGATAGTGGTTATTTCTGGTAATGTTTAATTGTTTTTTGAGTGGGATAGAACTTTGATTATTAGAAAAAAAGAATCAGGATTTGGTTAAAGGGAAAGGATAGATTCAGATTGGGGTAATAGATAAAATTCGTAATATTTATGTTGTTATTTCTTATAACCCTTACAGGACCTTTGCTGTTTAATAGAGGTAGATGAAGTTCTAGAGAAGGGTTTATAGACATTGGGGTGAGATATGGAATGAAGAGATGTTTAGTTATATTTTAAGAGATTGTGATAAGTTGTTAATGTTGATTATACTTGCTGGGGATGGAGGGGGAGGTTTCACTTTTTCTCTTTTTCTTCCTTTTTCCTTTTCTTATTTTTCTGCACTTCTTTTTAATGTTAACTTTCCTTTCTTTGTTTAATGTATTTCTCTATTTTGTAGTTGTGCAAGTTTTACTTGTATAATATAATCTTTAATAAAATTATTGGAACAAAAATACTGGAACAGGATGAGAGAAGGACAGTAAAAATGAAGAGGGACTGGAAACTGAAATATTAGAGATGTAGAAAGATTGATTTTTGTTAAATATTATGAAAAAAACTTGCTAATGGTCAGAGCAGCCCAGGAATGGAAGTAATTGCCAAAAGATTGGTGAACTTCCTTTTGGTGGATATCTCCAAGTTTAGACTGGATTGCCGCCTTTCATGGAAACTTGACTTCTGCATGGAATAGATGATTGGATTCCATGGCCTAAATGCTTCTGACCAACTTTTAAATTCCATGATATCATTATTATTGTCATTGTCATTATCATTATCATTACTTCCTCTTCATGGCATAAATCAACTTCAAGGTGGCAGACTTAAACATCCGGGCAGAAATGGATAACACAATCAGTTTCAGTTTTACTAATTCATTAAGTATTTTAAGTGACGCCGGTTAAAATTAACTGATTGCTGTTGAAAACAAGGGATGAGGCTGTGTTCTAGTTGTTATCCTACTGAAAGAAATATTCCTTTGAAATGTTGGCTTTTGTGGATGAAATATGGTTGCCAGATCCTTGGGTGCAGTATTGGCATGGATATCTGGGAAAAAATGTGGACCAAAAATATTGAATTTTGTCTGTGCAATAATTTAAGAGAACATTTTTATAAAATGATATATAGATGGAATCTGACATCTGTGAAACTATCAAAAATGTATACAAACATTCTAAATTAATGTTGGAAATATGGAAAAGAATACTGAACCTATTTTCATATGTGGTAGACTTGTGAAGTAGCCAAAAAATGTTGGTCGGTGATCAAAGGACATTGGTGAAAATAATAGGAATCCCTTTTCAGATGAAACCACAATTGTACTTATCAGGGTTTATGGAAGAAAAACTGAGTAAAAAGCATGGTGCCTTATTGGTTTACATGAGCACCATGGCAAGATTATTATATGGGCAGAAATGGAAAAATAAAGAAGATCCAAGTGTGGAAGATTTGATATTTAAAGTTATAGACATGGCAGAGATGGCAAAACTGACATGTCTAACGAGAGAAATCTACAGAGGCTTTTATTAAAGACTGGAGTCAGTTTATGGATTATATTACAAAACTAGAGAAAAATAGTTTGATGATAAAGGGTTTTATAGATCAAATAAGAGGAGATAACAGAAAATTTATATAGTGACTACAACAGTATAAAGGAATAAGAAATGGTTAATGGATCCATGATGAAAGTGAAGGGCAGAAGTGGACTATATGTTTTTTAAGTTAGATGTTTAGTTTTGTATTTGCAGGTTTCTATATATGTTTATGTAGTGTGTCTCTTATATTGATTTTATGTGTAGAATTTTAATAAAGTTTATCTTATAAAAAAGAAATACAGTTGCCAGATCCGAAAGAGGATGAGACTCCTATACTATAAAGAGCAAAGCACTTGGTGTGATTCCCTTTTCTCCCCAACCTTGAAAATGTAAGTTCACCTTCCTTTTAGGTTTTGGGCCAGTTTAGAATGAGGCTAAACTTCACCATCCTGTGACATTCCAGAGGGTACCTTTCTATCCCAGGTTGTGAATATGAAGAATCATTCATGGATTTTGTACCTTACAGAAAGCTTTGCTGCCTTGGGTATAACCAGTACAGATCATATCAGGTTTGACAGGATCATTCTCCTCCATGTCTAGAAATGGGACAGCGTTGTAGAAATTGTTACAGTTCCTTCGGCTTATGATAGGCACCTTTGCTTCCTGTAGAGTTAATGGGTATGACAGTGGCTCTGCAGGAGACAGAAACAGAGAAAGGAGATACAGTCAGGCAAGGCAGGAGCACTAGAGTTAAAATACATACTGAGTGGACACAAACATTTATTGCACGATGAGCTTCTGGGGACTGTATCCACTGAATATGTTAAAAATAGTGGGCCCACCATACTTGTTTTTGTCATATGATTTTGAACATGGATGAAATGTAAGAAGAGTCCTCACCATTGTTTCCAGTATCTCCCCATCCAACAATCCAACAATTTGGATTGTTGGAGAACTCGTCATAGGAATGCGGCAAGCAGACAGGAAGGATGAGGCTGGTGAAGCGAATGGGTGATGCCAGTTTAAGTAAAGCAATATCCCCAACAGAGCCAGCCTCGCCCTGGTAGTTAGGGTGGATGAGTATCTTTTGCAGAGGGTACAGTTGCACATTTCGGGAGAGATTTAAGAGCTGACGGGCTCCAAGAAGCACAGTGTATTTTTCAATAGAATCGAATCTGTGAAGGTAAGAGCAAATGAGGAGTGAAATTGTAGTTTCAATTTAGTTTTGTTTTATTTACAAAAAGAAAAAGAGAAAAGAAATTAATTGCTCAGTTAAATTTAGGATTTAGGATCCTTTCTTCCATTTAACAGACTAGGAATTCTGAGATAATGCAACAACTTTTGCAACATAGCTGTTTGCAAGAGAATATTAGCCCACATGGGATTCAGGAAGTTTCATTCATCCTTTCTCTTTGGACAGCAGGAGGCGTGTGGACTGGTGGTGGAAGAACAGATGCTTTGCATGTGGAAACTCATAGATTCTGTCCTCTGTTGATTCAGTGTTGACAATACTGCCACTAACCTTGGGCCCATCTTGATAAGATGATGTTTACTTGGACTGTTGGTTTGCAGAATAAACTATGAATGACATGGTTTCCACTGTAAGTTTAAACTTAAACTATGCCTTATGAACCACAATGGCTGGTTTTATATAATGAGGTATGCCACAATCAGACATTCCACATTATGGCCATCTAATTTTCTGAACCCAATCAGAGCTTCAGTTGGAAAGTTCATATGGTTATAAGATCTAAGAGAATAAACTTATTAGAAATGAACAGGATTAGGGGTATGTATGGGGATCTTCTCTTGCTGCAAAAGGAGGCAGCTGGGGTTGTGACAAACTATTTCATGCATTCTGCACATATGTTCCTCAGTTTACCAATTTTTCTTTCCCAATGTTTGCGGTATACACCCTTTTCCTGCCCCAGTTCCCTTGCAATTTAACTCAAGTAAGTTTTTTTTTACTTTTTTTTTTAATCTGTCATAATATTTTAAAAACACAAAATAGCTGAAGTATTTGTAGTTTTTGCAATACTTCCAGCCAAGGCAAAACAATAACCGCTGATTCTGATCATTGCTGCTATTGTTACCAGCATCCACGGTAGGATCACAGCCTGCTTAAAAAGGAGCAGGGTTTGAATGGCATGGTTGCATCTGCCATCTTGACTTTTTTTTAACCCACTTGTGGAATGCCCTGAATAGTATGCAGAAGTACATTCCTGTGGATCATAAATTTTAGGATAAAAAACATTTCCAATGACTTTCTTTTACCTTCTTATTTCAATATCATCAGAGCAGGTTTGTTTGAAGATTAGCTGAACTAGCAACCAAATTCGGTGATGTCATGTGAGAAAAGTAGCCAGTTGCAATTCATCTTGTTCAATAAAATGAGACAAGGACTTTCTGTTGTCTTCTCCCCCTGACTAACTGTCTGATTCTTGGCTCCATTACTAGCTTGTCCCTCCTTGGTCCTTCTCTAACACCAATCACTTGGATGTCCTGAGGCCATGAAGGACATTGTAGGCACAGATATTAGCCCACCTTTGCAACATTCAAGCATATCAGATACCTACCCATAAACACAGCTAGCTGCTGTCAGTATCCACTGTTCATTGATGAGAGCGCCACCGCAAATAGGACGGAAATCATGCAAAATACTAACATGCCAGGGCCACCCTCCTTCAGGGGCATCTTGCCCTCCAACAATTCGGGAAGAGATTCTTGGTTGCCCACAAACTGTGGAAGGAGCAGAGCATGTAAGAGGGCAAAGAACTATAGACTTCAATGCTCAACAAGATGGAATTATTACAATACTGGAATGGTGTTCATCCGACTAAAAAACCTGATTTAGCACAGAAAAAGGGAATATTCCTGATGGATTATTTTCCCTTGCCTCTTTCAGTTTAAGAAAAAAAAAATTTATGGATGCCAAAAGAAAGATATTTTTAAAGCAATTGCTATTCAGGTAGAGATTGTGGGGAGTGGGGAGCTGATCCCAGCAATCAGGGGTGGGAGGGTTATCTTTCCCCACTTGCACCTCCCAAAATGGCTCCCCCCAACCTGCCAGTCGAGCTTAAAAAATGCCTTCAGTGGATAGTCCAGTGTAGGGGTTCCCACATATGGAGAGCTTATGGCTAAAATACATTCATTATCACTACAGGATTTGGGGGCCTTTGGGAAATAAATCTAGGATTCAAGAAGATAGATTTAGGGGATTGGCTCCAAGACAGCAGCACCTAGCCAAGTTTAATGACTTGGAGAAAATTAAGCAGGGTTAATATTTGGGCGGGAGACCAGCAGGAATCCTAAAGCTGTAGACTAAGCTGGAAAGTCAGAAAAAACATATCAGATTCTGTGGC